CACTTCTCTATTGATCCTATAAGAATTCTTCATCTTTACACATATAATTAAGATTTTTCGATATATAACAGCATTCACTTCGTTGAGAAATTCCTTTTTTTTTATTAACGAAGAAGGGGAATGTTAAAATAACATCTGTGATGAACTTAGGAAATGTAACACTTACGACAACAATAGAAGACCATTAGTGACAGTTAGTACGAACGAAAGAAAGCTCAGCATCTATCAGTTTCTAATCGGTAACTTTTATTTCTTTTCGAGCAAATGACTGGCGATTTCTTACTACTCATCTTTTTATATGTAGAGATTGAATATTTTAGTAGGGCACTATAGTACGTTTTTTTAGAATCCTCGAATTTCGATTACCTACCCATTTCTTTTCATTTTCTTCATTGCGTTAGCTACGTCATGTCAAGGACAGTGATAGTTATTTTTTCCTGAGAGAGCAATAGTAACGACCTTTTACTAAATTTTGCTTATGTATCTCATTGTGACCTTTATTCCTTTGTTATTCTTAAAAGTTTCGGGTTGAAAAAGAAAACGAATGATTTCGTCTTGGTAGGTCTTCTCCCAATTGAATACGATTTTTTTGTTGTTTATTCATAACAGAAATAACACAAAGACAAAGCACATTCTCTCTCTCTCTCTCTATACAGTCCATTTGAACACTTTTTTTCGTTAATCGTTTTTCATCATTCACTTTATAAAGTTTCATCATCAGTGTTTTAAGAAAAGAAAAGAAAGGAGCCACACAGACCTAATTGTACGAATGTTCGAGGATGAAAGAACACTTTTTTTTGTGCCCAATACTTTGTTCAAGTAGTGCAAAGCCTTATTATTTATGTCACAATAGCAAAGTTGTCAAAAAAAGGCCATTGACTGACTTAATACACTGAGACGTCCATTTGAACAAAATTTTACGATAACAAATATCTTTTCGAAAAAAAAGAAGCAATTTGTTGTAAATTACAATGCAGTAGACCGTCTTCTACCTATTAAAGGTCTGAGACCAAAATCTCCATTGAAATTTATTTTCAGTAACGAGTTGCTCAGAATAAGAGATGGATGATAAATTCTTTACGCAAAAGATAAACGAATTTTGTTAATGTTCTTTTTTTCCTAAGTGGAACTCCTACATCTATAGACGCTGTTGGATGAGTATACAGTGATGATAATACGCGTAATTGATTTTTTTTGCTATTATTAAATTTTTGATGATCCAATTCCAATTCCAAGGTAGTGTATACGCGTCCCATAGTGTTAATTATATATGTAATAAAACAACATATTGACAGGGTAATGTTCATCACTTTCTCTTTTACAAATAGATTAAATAGACGCTATTAAATTCGTCTATGTTTTTGTCGCCGTTTTTTCTATTGTTCAAAAATACAATATATATACTGTTATTCAAGTATATATTGTGTGGTACCCATTAGACACAACAAAAAAAAGAGAAGAAAAATCTTTCTTTTCAGAGAAAAAAATCTTGATATGTTTTAATTCCGGTTTCATTCGGAAATTACTGTTTAGGCACAGTTTCAAAAAATTAGTCACGATGACTATATACTTGTCACTGTTATGTCTGCGAAATATTTTCGGTTGCTTAGTCGTGTCAAGAACACAGAGTGATACTAGGTATGTACCACTTCTACAACTGGTGTTTAACCATTCGAAAAAACTGTTATAACTCAGTTATTAAGAGTCACTCAGAGTTGCGGAATATCTCGTTTTGTAGAAAAATGTTCACTCTACAAAACTTATTATCTAAAAGAAATTCTTAAATTTAATATTATTGAAAATATGATTCATCCAAAACAGTAGAATTATCGGAACTGTTCGCCAATAAGTTTAACGGTTCCTGTTTTTCATGATTAATCTTAAATTCAACAATAAGTTTCGTAGTTTAAACATTTTTCTACACAACGGGATGTTTCGCAACTCTGAGTGACTCTTAATAATTGAGTTATAACAGTTTTTTTTCGAATATCTAAACACCAGTTGTGGAACTGGTACGTATATAATTGATACCCTGCCTTTTTGCTACCTTGAGTTTTATTTATTGGTGTACGATTTGTGAAATGCTGTTAGTGTGTGAAAATTCCGCTGATTGATGACGTATGTTGAACGGATGTTAAATATAAACAAAAATGAAAACGTTTTTATTTGTTTTGGTAATCAATTGGCACTTTTAACTTTAAATTGTTAAATTAGGTGTACGTGTGATAATCCACAGTAGCCAATTTTCTCTCTCTCTCTCTCTTTCTCATTCAGTAAACGATAAATATTTCAAAAAAGGAGGGTATGTGTATACATCAAAAAAATGTACAAACTCATTTAGTCATTCGTTCGATACACATGAGTTAGATTTATTTCAATTAAAGCCAAAGAGAAACAAAAAACTGAAAACTACTTTTTTTTTTCTTTTTTTTTTATATCGTTGATATTGAGCCGGTTTGCTTTGAACATTATTGTTCCAAAGTTAATTGCAAATGATGAATGAATGACACTTTTAGAGAAAGAAAGAGATTTTCGTTCATTCATTCGTGTTTTTTTGCATCAGCTATATTGATTAAGCGAGAACAGATGAAGAGGGAGAAACTGTTGAGTTTCTTTTTTTCTGCCTATATAACCAACTATCAACTTTTTTCGTGCACAAATATAAATTCATCGATCCCATTGTCCTTTTTTTGTTCAGAATTTGTTGCCCTATTCTTCTTAGTGCACATACATACACACACATGCACTAAATTTTGTAACATTTAAAATGCAAATTTTTTTTTCTCTCTCTTTCTCTCTCTCTATGTGGTATTTTATACATAGTTAGTTCATCAGTAGTCAGTTTGTGTATGTGATAAGTGACCTTGCAATGACTGCCGAGAATATGAACTATTCAACTATTAATTATGCAATAACAGTATTTCATTAACGAAGATGAGAGTAAGTAATTTATCTCACAGTTTAACAGATTGTTAGACATTCACTGTAAATTGCAAACTTAGTTTAACGTGTTATGTTAGGAACATTTATTTATCCGATTTTAAATAAAAGATGATCTGTTTTACTTTCCAAACGATACGTTGTATGAACAATTATCTATGATGTATCTACCAGAGTAAAACCTTTGTATAATTCAATATATTTTTATTTTGACAAGAAAGATCATCTATTCAGATAGTTCTTTATGATTAAAAACTCAGACAGTTGTTCGTGTTGGCATTTTGATAAAATTTGCGTTTTAAGTTGTTGGTTTGAAACCTGAGATACATGTAAGAGTGCGTGCGTAACCTAACCTTCTTTTTGTCTATCTCTGTTGCAAATCGTCGTGTCTCTCTTTAACCTGTTGTCTACTGATTAAAAAAAAAAAAAAAAAAGAAGATGATGGATGAATATCGACTCTAATCGTTCAAACAACAAGAAGAAAGAACCTATTCAAGTACCTTCACGTCAAATTATTATTATATTCTGTTCAGTATATAGATGGTGAAGAAAAAAAAAAGATGAATATCATTGATAAGTATCATCACTTGAGATTGAACAAAACAAAAAAAGAAGAATGACGAATTGACGCGATTTAAATTTCAAAAGAGAGAAAAGGTGTTATAAAGTTAAAGTTCTAAAAGAAATAAATAACAGTGATATAGCTTGTATACTTGATAATCGATATATCAAATGACAATGATTGATTCAAACGTGATTAACGTTTGAACATCTAGAGAAAACATATATACGGTAGGGATTTTTCGGTTTAGTACAAGTGACTATTTTAAATGATAAATTGAACCATTTCTTTTTTCGATTTTGAAGTGTCTATACGATTGATAAAAGTAATAAAAATTAAAAAAATAGAATATTCGAAGATACAGGTAAATACATTATAGAGTAACAATATGAGTTGTCTTAGAACATTTTACTATTTTGATAGAAATATATCCTCTAATAATTTACATATCAAATAGAAGCAAACAACGTTCATTAGATTTTTCTGTTATAAAATTTCATAGAGAATTAAATGGGATCGTATTAAGAAATACACCATATAGAATTAAGATTAAGAAGGAGAATTTCTATGTGTGTAGAATTTTCACTAGTTGTCCTATTTTATTGTTCGTTTCAACAATTGAAGGGAAAAACCGATTTGGCAACTGACTCTGTATTATTAAATGTACCATAACATTCTTTTTATTTGTTCGATAAAAGATCTCTTTTAACAGTTTTTCTCTTTCTCTTCATCTCTTTTTTTGTGTTTTCAATATGCCGCATATCTTGAAGTGTTACAATTATGGCGTCATTGAACTATACTATGTTGACTTATTGTTCATCGATCTGTTATATTTAGAAAAAAAGTATGTTTCTTTCGTTAATCTACTAATAAATTAATCGAAATAGTCTATATTAGAGGCGTATACACTTTAACAGAAATATGATGGTATAATAGTTTTGTAAAAGTCATCTCTAACACTCTATTGTCTAAACGAGAAGTTTAGACTATATTGTTGATAGAGAGAACTTCTATTTGTGTGTGAGATATGTGTATAAAGAAGGTTTGTCACTCACACAATTAAACAGGAAATACGTGTGTATATGTACTATGTACACAATGAATATATTTGATAGATATGCGAAATATCTTTATTCTGTTCATCGCACAACAATTTGTTTACAACATATATAAAAAGTAGAAGACAGAAAGAAAAAAAGAAAAAGAAAGAAAGTATATTTATAATTTTATGAAGTGGAAACACCCGATTATTCTTTTATCAACGGCACGTTCAACACTTGAATTAGTTAATATCTTACATACTCATGTTGAACATAGTAAATGAAATTTCATAATCTAACAATGAAGAATAATTTTTAATCTAAAGTGTGTCTATTCTCGTACTGACAGTAGTTACAAAGAGTAAATCTCTTTCTCTCTCTCTCTCTCTCTCTCTCTCTCTCTCTCTCTCTCTCTCTCTCTATTGAGTAAATTTACTTTTATTTTTTAGATTTCAAAAATGCGTCTTCTAACAATGATGACTAGTGACGATTATCATTATATAATACAAAGACAATATTTTAATTTATTTTCCATTTTCTTTTCATTTTTATTTTTATTTCAATATATTTCGTTATCATTATCATCAAATATTCTTGATATTTGTCAGAGTGGTATACGTGAAGATCAAACAAATTATGTTCATTGTGGACGAAAAAATCTTTATTCTATACCAAATTTTTCTAATCGAACATTTAATATGGCATTTGATGAACTAATATTATCTGATAATTTTATTACACATATAAATGCTAATGATTTTAATGGTTTAAGAGTTAAACGTTTAATTATGACTGGAAATAAATTACAATCAATTGATGCTCAAGCATTTCGTGAATTAACAAATTATTTAGAAAAAATTGTACTCGAATTTGATCCAACTATTGTTGATACTATTCCTATAGCAATAAAAACAAATTTACAAAATATACGATCATTAGTATTAATTGGTCTTAATTTACAATTGTTAACATTTGGAAATTTTGATTTAATGAAAAAACTTGAACATTTATCATTGACACATTGTAATATTCGTGTAATTGATCATGATGCATTTCAACCATTAGAACCAATTTTAAAACATTTACAATTGGGTAAGTTTAATCATTCATCTTTTTATCTTGTCTCACAACTATAGATTTAGCTATAGTTCGAGCCGGGATCATGTTTTTAGTAAAATCTATCTTTTAAAAATGCTCCACAATCAAGAAATGCATAACTTTAAGATGCTCACTTTTCTATCAACGTTTCGTCCAATCAATGTGGTTTCCTTCAGACTTTATATTTGTTATATTATGTAGATGTTCTCTTTATGCAGGCAAAAATTCATCTGATCTATGATCCAGTAAATATTTTGGAAACAATGCCTCTCTTTTGCATTATATCCATAGTCTATTTATGATATAACTCATACGCGCACAAACAATAATTAAAACAATTCGTAATAAGTGGCGGTTTTTATGTTACATGATTCATCATAAAGTAAAATTGATTCTCTATGATGTTTGTATACAGAGTGTTTATGTGCACTTCAGTGTAAATTATTATAGAGTGTTATTCGGTTCAGATAAAAGTTGCTTTCTCTTTTGTTTGTAGTTTAGTTTAGTCTTTACAGTTGAAATCTTTTTAGTTTAATTCTGCTTTTTGTAGAATACTGTTGTTAAAGAAATACTCTTCAAACATTATGTTAAGAGAATGTTATACTCAAGAATTCACTGCAGAAGTGACAATGTACAAGATTTCTTCTACTCTGGAAAAGTAATCATTTCAACGAGACAGGGATTGATCTTCTCAGATCATGTTTTTTTAAAATGTTCTTGATTTATAATTGTTCTTTTAGAAGAAAATTGAATGTTATAAAATTACGTATATATGTAACGTCTTCTTTTATTTCTTTTCTTTACCATATTTAGATTATAATCAATTGATAGAAATTAATTTAAGTACATTGCAACAATTAGAAGTTTTGACAATAACTCAAAATCAAATAAAACACATTGACAATGATAGTCTACCAAAACAATTAAAACGTTTGGATCTATCCTATAATGGTTTAGCAGATATGAAAATTTCATTATCACAATTAGAATATTTAAACGTACAAAATAATCAATTAACTCAACAACATCTTGAATTTATTCAAACATTAACCAATATTAGAGAATTAATTTTAGATTTTAATTCAATTCAAACATTAAATGAAAATGTATTCTCTTCGACAAAATGTTGTCAACAATTAGAATTATTATCATTACAAGGAAATGATTTTAATTTTAATGAACAAGATTCATTAGTAGCCAGTCTTCTGTTCTCTGATTTAAAACAATTAAAACGATTAAATTTAGCTCGAAATACAATTAAAACAATTCCAACAGGTAAAGATTTTTGAACATTCTCTTGTTTCACAGCACATTCGTCATTGGGTAACGCTGAACTTTCATCATATGACGAAAGTTCTGTTTTCAGGAACAAAAGTTCTGTCGGTATGTGACGTTTCGTTACAAGTTATAGCGTGTTATTTGCTGTTATGTTCTTAGTGTGACGAAAGTTCGCGGTGGGCTGTGACGATAGTTGTAGTCTGTTACACAATTGGTTACAAAACTTCCCCATTTTTGTAACCAAAGTGTGAGTTGGTACTCTCCCAAAAATATCATACACTTTCGTCACGTGTGATGAAAGTTCTTTTTTCTATGTGTCGAAAATTAACGTGACGAAAGTGCTATCATCCATTTACTCGTTGCATATTTTAATTTTCATCTATTTTTTAATTTTTTAAGATTTATTTAATTTCACACGAACATTGCAAAGTTTAAATCTTGATCGTAATCCATTAATGACATTAGCGTCTTCTACATTTCATGGTCTTGAATCATCTTTAATCAATATTAGTATTCAAGCATGTAATCTACATTCAAATAGTCTATCGTCATTAAAAATATTAACAAATTTAGAACGTATCAAATTAAGTTCAAACGATATTGACTATGTACCTGATGATTTATTTGTGTCACTAACAAATTTAACATTAGTCGATCTTCAACGAAATCAACTCCAAATTGTACCAAAATTTTCTGATAAAAATAAATTAAAAGATTTAGAATTAAGTGGAAATAAACTGACAACGTTTGATGAATATACACTAAAACAATTGACACAACTTGTGACACTTGATCTCAGTTCGAATCCACTAGAATGTGATTGTAAATTAATCCCATTGTATCAGTGGTTAAATGAGAAATTTCAACCAGAATTAATTCAATATCTACAATGGACATGCTCAAATGGAAAACAATTATCGACATTGAACATTCACGATTTTACATGTACAGTTGCTGAGGATAAAACACTTACCTCAACGAAATTGAAAGAACTATTTTCAACAGTTAAACCATTAGTAAGAGAAAATATGGGTAAGCATTTTTACCTTAATTTGATCTCTATAAAACAAAGAAATATTTAAAGTCAATTTTTCTATTCAAATTGTAGAACCAATAACGACTATTGAGACAACTTTAAAATTAAGAACAACAACAACAACAACTCTCTTAACAAATATTATTACTGATTTAAACGTATGGATTAAAGATGATAATTCGGCTATTATTGAATGGAACACATCGTCAATAATACCCAATCATCTTCTAGTACTACGTCTCATCGTTATTGAAAACGGTTATCTATTACCATCTTTAAATTTAAATATTAGTCAAAAATATTTTTTATTAGAAAAATTAAAATCACAAACTCAATATACCATATGTCTAACAATATTAAATACACAAAAATATTGTCGTGATTTAATTACTGGTTCAACAACAACTCCTATACCATTATCTAAAGCAATTTCTATATCAAAAACATCGACGACAACTTTAACGTCAACAGATATTCAATATTTGATTTTGGGTACTGTTTTAGGTGCCATTAGTGTTTTATTAATTCTAATCGTTTTTATTATTATTCTTGTTCGAAAACAGCGGCGAAAAAAACATGAATCATCTAAAACAACATCGATCGAATCCTATTATAATGCTGGTGGATCTGATATATCAGCATTGTCTTCCGAACAACAGCCAACACTAAAATGTTTACCACCTCCACCATTATTAACACCATTCTATTATTTTCCACCATCAGAATGTCCTCATAATTGTTGTACATCTTTATCGATGAATGGAGGAGTAGGCGGCGATTTTGAACGTTCAGGAACAAATTCAACCGATTTAAGTAATATTAATCCTTCGACGTATCATATTTATCACGAAATACCATTTTCTGACACTTGTACATCTGCACTTCGACGTCCTAATATATTTGATAATACACATTTAATTGAACAACAACAATTGAGGCATACAACACCAATCATTATTTAACTTTTTTTTAAACTTTTATCTTTACGGTCTTTCAAGATCCTTTTCAAGGTCCTAAAGATGTATAATTCTTTAAAATACTCTTTACTGTTCGTTTAGAAGAACTAAAATTTCAATTTGTGCTTTGTTCTTCATACTCTGATAATTAATGATCTGGTGTTTTCCTGTAATTTATTTTTTCCTATTACACTACGCACTTCTTTTTGCTTATAAAGAAGTGATAAAAGTCTCATGTTGTAGAACAGTTTTCTTCTCTTAATCATTTGACGACTAGTCAGATAACATGGATGTTCTATTGTTAGAGTCCGTTTTTGTTCTCATTTTTTGACAAAATATAAATTTATCTTCCTCAGTATTTGTTATTTTGGTTTTTTTCTATTGAAATATATGAACAAGACAAATAATTATAAGTATGTTGATTCTTCTCTCTCTCTCTCTCTCTCTCTCTCTCCGACAACAGACAACATGAAATTGTTCAATGATCAATATTTTTATTCGACCTGATATAAATTAATTTTCAATGCCCGCCAGCCATTGTTACAATTAAAAGTCAAATTAATTAAACGACCGTTATCATTTTGTATCTATTAATCAAGTCACTGGCGTGTCAGCTTTTCTTGATAAATTTCCCTCATTTTTTCCTCATAAAAACATCATGTGACATTAATAAGTTATATTTTTTGCTGCTGATAATCAATTGACGGCACGAAATTCATTAACACTTTTATTTATTTGCTTGAAGACACTCTAAATGTTAATCAAAAGTCATTTTAATCTTATTTGAGAAACAGCTGACAAAAAAAAAATTTTTTATTAAACAACTTTTTATAGTTAAATCTCAACATTTGATAATGATCATAGCATGAAGTAACACATTAAAATAAATGAGCAAATTAATTAATGGCCATAAATAAATAATATAGACGAAAACGATAAATAAAAAATCTGCTCAAATAAAACGTGACAGTAATATATTGGCTACAATTGTTTATTGTCTAATAAAGTATTATAGATCTCTGATACCCAAACTTTTTGAAGAGATTTCGCTAACTCAAACTGCTAACTGGTATAAGAGAAACAGAGACAGATCTAACTTGATTTGAAAAAATGTCTTTCTGTTTTCTGATCCAGATTTCTAATTTTGACTCGCTCTTAGATCACTTAGAGGGTGCATTTTTCTAATATCTTAATGTCTAATTGGTATGCCTTTAAAAATGATAAGTTCTGAAGGTACTAATGAACATAGTATCCTAGTTCGATGACCTATCAAAACAAGCAAAAGGAAAATGGGCGATGATGATTTTCATGAACTGTGACTTGACTTGAGACTTGAATAAGCATTGACTTTCCATAGCTTTAAAGAGAATATATCGTGGCTATGTATATATTATACCATAAGCCCCCGACGCTTGAAAGATCATTCTAAAACAACTTAAAAACCATGGAAGAAGTGATTAAGCTACAACCAAAGAAGCTAACTACTTACATTTAAACGCATAATTCAACAATATTAAGTATAATCGCTCAACCATCAATTATTTTCCTCATTGTGTTAGCTACGTCACGTCAAAAACAGTGGTATTTATTTCCTGAGAGAGCAATAGTAACGACTTTTTCTACTAAAGCACGGGAAAAGGTTTCTGCAAGAAAATGGCATAATATAGTTTTGAGCATAAATCGTCTAGAATTATTAGAAATGCTTCGCGCTTCATCTGAGAACCTACCTAAACTTCCAAAACTTCTTCTGAAAAACTTCAGAAAAAAATCTCGTACAAATTTTTCATCACTATCCTAAACAACGACATCCATCATCTATTTCAACTCTTTCCATGAACTTCCAACTTCTTAACAAGAAAATTACATATAGGAAGATAGCGAATTTGCTGCGCTTCAAAATGAGTTATCAACAAACTGCACAAATATGCGAATGCAAAGCCATTTTGGAAATTTTGAACTTAGATATTGGTTTTCGTATTTGCGAGGACGTGGTTGTCTGTATCAGAAATCCTTTACACGTTACAAATGACTTTTTCCTCTCAGAAACATATGAGGGTGGCACCAGTATCATTCTCTAGAACGACGTTTCTAAAAGATTTTCTAGCGGCTTTTCCACGGCACTCTGAAAATCCGTGACGGTTTTTTGGCATTTTATTTCTTTTATTAATTTGAAGGGCGAGAAGCCGAAAGATCTAAAGCATCTCAGATTAAAGAGAAAAGTGTGCTGAAGGTTCACAATAGTTTCTTTTTTATTGTAATTATTTTTATCATCAACAACTGCACATGTAAAATCGTGAATGCTCAATGTCGATAATTTTTTTCCATTTGAGCATGTCCATTGTAGATATTGAATTAATTCTGGTTGAAATTTCTCATTTAACCACTGATACAGTGCGACTAACCTTTTCTTGCCTTTGGCTAAACCTAACTGTTCTGAAGGACAACTGTTCAATAGCATCAATCTTATGGCCTCTAATATGTGGTGTTCATGCATTTACGACATGAAAAGTTTGAACCAAACCCGTCAAGCGCCAATATATTTTTACGATAAAGATTACATTCAGATTGTTGATTTGAAGTCCACAATAGATAGGCTTTAAGTTGATATAAAATCTGTTTCTAAATGTCTGATAGTTCAAGTGAACTAAATTTTTATAAAATGCCTCCTATAGGTGCCAGGGCAAGAAAGGGTTAATTTACAATCACACTCTAATGGATTCGAACTGAGATCAAGTGTCACTGCTGATGATTACTCATCTGCGAGATAAAGATTGTATATTTGTGCGGTACCCTATTTTGTACTGAAATATGCGATATGAGCAGGAACTTATCAGGGTTCCGTCGCCAATTGAGGATGTCTTCATTGCACTTAAGTTATTTTTGCAATAGATAAATCCAAGGCAGTAGATAAATATATAGGAAGATAGAGAATCTCAAGCGCTATCAGAATATACTTAAGACTGACCAAAAGCTTTGATCATGTGTGGGGCGGGGGAAGGGAATCACCGCGATCAGAACTTTTGGTATGCCCTAAGTACATCTGATCTGACTTAGTCCCAGTTTTTAAAAACTTTAATGGTTCGAACTGGTTCTGGTCGGAAAACGTTTTAGAGATCTCTTTTTTTTTGTTTATCGACTAGATAAGCTTTGTTGAACATTTAATTTAGAAACAGTTTGTTTTCAGGTTTGATATAAATTGAAATTAAACAGTTTTGCGGTACACAATAGAAATCGATCTTCAAAAAGGAGGAAAAAAATGTTCATGGTCTGAAAAGTTTATTGTCCGGATTGGTCCTAACCCCAAAAAGTTATGGTTCAGTCCCAAAAATTGGAATCAGACCGAACAATACGGAGCCCTGGAACCTATATAAGTATCAAACAGCCTATCGAAGGTTAACGACAAATCATCTTGAAAATGTGAAAATATGCCATCAGAGTACCTAGAGTACGTACCTAAACGGTACTTTTGGATAGTTAATGATATAAAAACTTCTTGAATACTTGCGGCATTACCGACAGCAGGATGTCTGTACAAGTGCGTTGGAGTTAGTGCATTCATGTTACACTGTGCGAACTAACAATAACTTTATACGGTATTCTGTTATTTATTGCTTAATTAGAGCTGACAATGTTATAAAAAACGTCATTATCTTTTTCTTAACAACAAATACACCTTCTATCAGAGAAAAATTCTCGTTTGAATTGAGCAGCTGTATTCTATGTATATAAACAGTGACGTATACAGATAAGGGATAGATAAATGTCTTGGTTATAGCTTAAATCGACAAAAGTTTATTCAAAAAGAAAAATTCTATTTTTAAGTTTTGTATATGCCAGATGAAGAATATATTTCTACGTACTAGGCGTAAATGAAATGAAACAAAAACTCCAAGCTTACGGTGATGAAAGCTTACTACAAAAACCTCAACACCAAGACATTAATATAAAAATAAAATAAAAAGAAAGACCGATATTTTGTAAATAATAATATATAAGATAGTTTGTTTTGTAGATAAAATAATACAGTTTCCTAGCATTGATATACTAGCAAAATTAATCCTTGGTGACATATTTATTTAGTACCTAGAAAAAAGAAGAATTCATACATAATAGTTTAATAGTTGAGATTTATTCATACCTGGTTTAGATGTAAATTTTGATAATTCTTTTAAATGTTTATCTTGACTTTCTTTATCTTGAAGCTGCCATTCCTAACAAAGATTAGAATATGAAACATATCAGAAAAACTAAGATTTGTAGTCTTTTTTCACATTACTTTAGCTAAACTCTCTGCATGTATTTTAGTGTTGCTAATATTTGCTGATATATGGGACTTTGCAGCTTCATCAATACGTGCTAATTCTCTTAAAAAAATTGTTTATATTCGATTCTTGTAAGAATTTTAATAAACACCGAAAATCCTTGACTTACTCTTGTCTTGCTTTTTCAATATATGCTTTTTTCTCTTGTAATGCTCTTTCTTTCGATTGATCAATTGCTGATTCGGCCCTTGTTCCATGACTTTTAGCCGTCTCGTCGAATTTTTGCATACGTTGCATACATTCTTCGCCTTTCGCTTTCAAACGTTCATGAACACTATCTTCAATACGTTGTTCGCGTTCTTGACGTTCTTTCTCTCGTTTTTCTGCAAGAAAAAATTAAACTTCATTAATTTTTACAGAAACAATAGTTCCGAATATCAGCATTAAAATAAGCTTTCTAAAATGTTCTTGAAAATTTACCACTATTCACTTTTTTCACTTCCAATAATCGTGATCGAATTTTTTTTCGTTCATCAGGATCTTGCGCAGCTGTTAGCTAAACAAAATCAGAATACTCAAATTAATTAAAATAGAATTTGTGAAATGAAATGAAATCCGATACCATTTTTTGTAGTTGAACCTCGTCAGTAATCGAATCGACAGACATATTGTTTGCTAGAATTTTGCTACAAAAAAAAATAGATTCAGATTTTGTGAGAAGTCGATGATAGTCAAATAGCAGATCTTCTATAGCCCATAGGACGACTGTATAAGGGTATCCTCTCCCTTTTTCGGGCTTTCCGTAGAAATGTTATCAAATAAAAACTAAAAATCACTAATACTTCATATTTTCAGAACTGATTGGAAACTCAATAGAGCATTTTTTCTTTTTTGTTTCAAGTTTTCAACTATTACTGTTCACGAGTTTTCCGAAAAATTCGATTTTTCTTTGTGTCACATTACGATCGCCCCTCCCACAAATTTTATTCGATCGAGTTAAAAATTTTTATCGAGTTTTGATCGAACTCAAGCTAATATCGCAGAGGAATTTTTTTAAGACCTTTCCTTGTCTTAGTTATAGTATGTTCATTGTTATTAGTATGTGTTGTTCGTAATGTGACACAACGAATCCTGATGGCAAAAAAAAACAGTTTTCGAGAAAAACGCAGAACAAAAACAAGATTCATCATCGAAAATTGTCGAGTTCCTTCTATATCTGTTGCCTAAAGTCAAAAGCCTGTGGGTAATCGATTATTGCACATCCGATGTGCATCTGCAGAAACATGTGTGACATATATGCTGGTGTATACGGACATATTTACATACATGCGGACATATCGCATCGAACTGCGTTTTTTTAGGTTTATGGATAAATAGAAGTAAGAGAGCGAGAGAGAGACATGAAATTCAAAAGCTTTGTGGAGATCTTCTTGGGAATCTCATACCTTACAACACATAGTTTCTTGTCTGAACAAGTCGGTTTAGTTCATAGACCTAAAAAAACGCAGTTCGATATGATAAAAGAGCATTTTGTAGTATGCAATATGTCGGCACACGCCAGCATATATACCGCACATGTTTCTGCACGTGCACATCGGATGTACAATGACCGGTTACCCACAGACTCATGATTTCGGTAAGGAATTTCGTTATGTTTCATGGTTCTTGAAAATGTCCAAAATTTTCCCAAATGGAGCTTGTCCCTTCGAGCCCTGGAAGGAGAAAAAAGCCCCTGGCGAGAAAGTTTTATATGCACGTGATAGAGGACAATTAAATGTATATGTATCAGTAGTAAAAAAAAACATCGATTTTTTTCGAAAACGAGGGATGATACCCTTGAGGTATTAGATTGTGAAATTCAAAGTTTCTTCTTCGACTAAAAGTAGACAAGGAAAATTAGTAGTATTCGTCATATTTAAATTGATAATCATAAATGGTTTTTAGTTAGTCGATCAGCTATTCTTTTTGAAAAATGTAACATTGTACTCGGTACAAGACACGATTTTAAGATTGTCTGATTTCCGTTAACATATTGAGTTAATGAAACAAGTTACCCACCGTCAATGTATTTTGCAGAAGAATAATGGTTTTGCGCAAAAAAATGACCCAAATATATATTATGCAAAATGGAGGAAGAGAATTATAGTATCTAATATAGTACAAAAATAACTTTATCAGGAAAAAGAAAGGCGGAATAAAAGCGAATCTATTTTTGTGTATAGAATATTGATGTACAGTAGCGCAATGTCGTCTATGATAAAAAATATACCTAAGAATATTCTTTAGTATCACTGAAAAGAGAGGATGCTGTTGTTGTTTTTTTTTGTTTCTTTCGAACAACTCTCGACTAATTTGGCGTAATAGTTCGTCTACTTGTTTATTCATGTTTCGCGTAGTAGTTTACAAGTGGGCTGATATTGAATCACTGTTGTATAGCAAGTTTATTTCTTTCAATTCAATTTATTTTAAGCACATTTTATGTAGAAAAACTGCATAAATTTAATCAGAGAGTAAACAATTCTAAAAATATTTTACTAAAAAACAAAATTAAAATAAATTTTCTTTAAATAAATCAAATGAGAGATGTGCATTGAAGTCCATTTCTTACTGTCATGGACGACGGACTATGAAAACAAGGCAACAGTCTTTGTCATAACATTCTTCTGACCTAGAAGATGTCTCATTTTGATTAGAATGGTCTATTCTATTGAATGAACTATTTCTTAGATCACTTGTATACGTTCAAGGAGCATACGGGTACATCTGTTTTAGCTAAAACTGTCAGGTATCTGTTACATCTTTCTGCTCTGTAAGTGTCACCCGAATCTGATGTGATCTGATCTGATTGAGCAACGACATAATAGATTCAGGCGTATTTCTCATACAATGACAACATTAAATATTACCCACTGTCAAAGCTTCATCATTTATGAATATACGAGAAAAATAATGGTCTACAAATTATTAAAGAAATATTCTAAAGCCTGAACTTATTTCGTATTACTATAAGAGATCAAACATTAAATATCACAAGTCGTGTAACTGTACATTTTAGCTATACATTTTATATATACACTTTTTACTATGTTTTCAGTTGACTTCCTCTTCATTTATCTGTGAAGCTCGGTATGAACTCGGCTTGTCCGCAGGTGACGCGATGACGCATTTTCAGCGTCAGCGCTTATTTTCTCACACTTATGAGCAGGCATATAGCGAATTTTTGCAATTATTTTACAGATCTCGATGACTTCTGTAAGAGATGTATAAAGGTTTAAAGTATGACCTCTCGTTCAAATACTGCAGCATTTATATGGTCGGTAACGTGATGACATTTTTAACCGTTTTCCTGTCTCGCATTACGGCTTTTTTAGTTTTTATTTAATTAATACAAATGAAATGAACTAGTTTTAATATTTAAAAACTATTACATCCTGTAGAGTAAACAATTTTCTACAACCTGATATACCTGTTGGATTTTCATCTCTTGTCTTCAAGCTTTTAAACACATCATAGCTCCAAAATTGATCTTTTGGACTATTTGTACAACAATTGGATTTTCATAATGAATCAACTTCCAGAGCCCAAACATTTCTTATTTTATAGAGAGATGTTTAATCTATTTAATTATCTATTTGGAATCTTAGATCAGTGGGTAGTTTTATTGCAAGAATTTTGTGAAAAAGAGCAAAAGAAGGGTACCGTTACACAGTGGGCATTTAGGCAGCATTTTGGTGAAAAATCGCAGGCTTGAATTTTTATATTTTGAATGATGACATATATACTATAAATAATGCCCTATTTAACGGTGAAAAGTTTTTGACTCTAACTTCTTCCAAAGTTGAGAAAATTAAATTACAAAATTATTAGTAGAATTAGTATGCTGGCGCGTAAAATTGCGTTTTCTCCGTCAAATTATAAGTTTTTTTCAAAAACAATGACATATATAGAATCGCCATCTGTTGGACAATCTAGCTGTAAGAAAACTTTCGTCGGACAAAGTTAAATTTCGGGGAACGCGCGAAGATCTTTCCACGGAACTCATCTAAAAAAAAGACTTCCTCATAAAAATGCAATCGCTAAACTCCGCTGAGAAGCTATTGATATGAAAAATAGCTCAAAATGTTCGTCTCAACCTCCTCTACATATACTGATCTCACAAAGTCTCCCAACTTTTCAAAACCCAGCTCTCATGCCATTAGAAAGAGGATCATGAAAAACTTATAAAAAAATGGTTCATGAAATTTTAGTTCTCTCATAAAGTTAAAGTCCGCCTGCTCTAGCAAAAAATGTCCACTGTGCGTTAGCCCGACAAGCCGAACTGGAGTTATAACTGTTTTTACTAAATTTATAGTTGATTTATCTTCGTTGATTTTGGACAACAAAAAATGTTGTAAAAAGGAAGGAATGTAAAGTTTAAATATCCTGCTACATATTTTTACTAGTCGTACTGTAAAATGGTGGCAATCCATCCATGATGTCAACATTGTTACATTACGTGTTGATTTATTATGATAGATTAAGCACGTGCCATACACGTGGCCAATTTAAAACAAGTAATTCTTTTAGTTTTAATCCTACCGCCTAACATCCATAGCGTTAAGCATAACTGGGTACATGATGGTAGTGTTAAAGACAGGAAAATCTCAGAAAGACTTTAGTGATTTCCAGACAATCTTCTAAAAACCTGTGTGAAAAAAAGTGTCTAAAAATAACAGCATTTTCTTTGTCGTACATCATTCGAGTTGCACTTTTTTTTCTATGTAATATCAACCATTTTTCTCATATTTTAGAAGTATTTATGAAAAAAATAAATACACGAACTACAATCAGTGATATTTGTCATTAATTCCTGATTTGAATCTACACCAATAGGAAATGTAAATCATAACTCGTGCTTATATGCATGCGAACGAAAGTTTAATTTTCCGTAGGAACAAATGCTTAAAAACAATTCATTTTAATGCTGATATTTTGGACTATTGTTTCTGTAAAATTAATAAAATTTAATTTCTTTTGCAGAAAAACGAGAGAAAGAACGCCAAGAACGCAAATAGCATATTGACGATAGTTTTCATGAACGTTTGAAAGCTAAAAAGTGGGGAATGAATCAACTTCCAGAGCCCAAACATTTCTTATTTTATAGAGAGATGTTTAATCTATTTAATTATCTATTTGGAATCTTAGATCAGTGGGTAGTTTTATTGCAAGAATTTTGTGAAAAAGAGCAAAAGAAGGGTACCGTTACACAGTGGGCATTTAGGCAGCATTTTGGTGAAAAATCGCAGGCTTGAATTTTTATATTTTGAATGATGACATATATACTATAAATAATGCCCTATTTAACGGTGAAAAGTTTTTGACTCTAACTTCTTCCAAAGTTGAGAAAATTAAATTACAAAATTATTAGTAGAATTAGTATGCTGGCGCGTAAAATTGCGTTTTCTCCGTCAAATTATAAGTTTTTTTCAAAAACAATGACATATATAGAATCGCCATCTGTTGGACAATCTAGCTGTAAGAAAACTTTCGTCGGACAAAGTTAAATTTCGGGGAACGCGCGAAGATCTTTCCACGGAACTCATCTAAAAAAAAGACTTCCTCATAAAAATGCAATCGCTAAACTCCGCTGAGAAGCTATTGATATGAAAAATAGCTCAAAATGTTCGTCTCAACCTCCTCTACATATACTGATCTCACAAAGTCTCCCAACTTTTCAAAACCCAGCTCTCATGCCATTAGAAAGAGGATCATGAAAAACTTATAAAAAAATGGTTCATGAAATTTTAGTTCTCTCATAAAGTTAAAGTCCGCCTGCTCTAGCAAAAAATGTCCACTGTGCGTTAGCCCGACAAGCCGAACTGGAGTTATAACTGTTTTTACTAAATTTATAGTTGATTTATCTTCGTTGATTTTGGACAACAAAAAATGTTGTAAAAAGGAAGGAATGTAAAGTTTAAATATCCTGCTACATATTTTTACTAGTCGTACTGTAAAATGGTGGCAATCCATCCATGATGTCAACATTGTTACATTACGTGTTGATTTATTATGATAGATTAAGCACGTGCCATACACGTGGCCAATTTAAAACAAGTAATTCTTTTAGTTTTAATCCTACCGCCTAACATCCATAGCGTTAAGCATAACTGGGTACATGATGGTAGTGTTAAAGACAGGAAAATCTCAGAAAGACTTTAGTGATTTCCAGACAATCTTCTAAAAACCTGTGTGAAAAAAAGTGTCTAAAAATAACAGCATTTTCTTTGTCGTACATCATTCGAGTTGCACTTTTTTTTCTATGTAATATCAACCATTTTTCTCATATTTTAGAAGTATTTATGAAAAAAATAAATACACGAACTACAATCAGTGATATTTGTCATTAATTCCTGATTTGAATCTACACCAATAGGAAATGTAAATCATAACTCGTGCTTATATGCATGCGAACGAAAGTTTAATTTTCCGTAGGAACAAATGCTTAAAAACAATTCATTTTAATGCTGATATTTTGGACTATTGTTTCTGTAAAATTAATAAAATTTAATTTCTTTTGCAGAAAAACGAGAGAAAGAACGCCAAGAACGCAAATAGCATATTGACGATAGTTTTCATGAACGTTTGAAAGCTAAAAAGTGGGGAATGAGTCCAAATATAGGTAATTTTGTTCATTATATACACTGTATTTAAGATAGGATTCATTTTGTTAGTTAAGAGTCGTAATTACTAGCTCCACAGCATGACTGAATGATTTGCGTATAGTTTTGTTTGAATTTATGGACACCTGGGATGTTCTCATTAGCGTAAGGTCGTTTCAGAGGAATAAGTGATTTCAGCCCAAACATATGTTAGGCATTTTATCAAAAAAGCTAAAACTTTCTATGGGCAAAGAAAATGCTTTTATTTTTAGACACATAAAAGTTTTTAGAAGATTGTCTGGAAATCACTAAAGACTTTCTGAGATTTTCCTGTTTTAACATTACCATCATGTAGCCAGTTATGCTTAACGCTATACGTGTTAGACGGTATGATTAAATTCTTCCTTTCTTCAAAAGCGATAAAATTTAAAAGCTCATTTTTCTAAGTTAAATTTTGTCGTTAAATGTAAGAGCTTTCATTTCGTTTCTACCGATGCTCCAATGTCTGCGAAATCACCGCATTAAAAGGCTTTCACGATTGTTTGAAAAAGAGAACGAAAAACAAAAAGAATACTTTTTTCCTTTCGGCAACAAAAAACGGATGTAATTAGACGTAGTTGTATTTTTTTCTCTCGGATCGAATCGACATCGTTAAGTAACTTAATAGAATTTCGTCGTTCTGATCTTTTTTTTGCTCATTTTTTTTCTCTTGTTCTTTCTCTCTATCCATTTTATTACGTCAATCTGAGTGCCTTGCGTATCGTCTCTCTAGAATTCTCAATGGCATTTTTACATACATATTCAAAGAAACGGTCGATATGAGAAAAGAATTGGACTCTTTTTTCCTCTAAATCATAGTAAATTGTACGTATTGAGTTTGTTCTATTTCTGTCTGTTTGTTAATAAAAAATAGTTTGCAAGTTCAATTCCATTGTTCACATAATAAACAAAAGTGGCATCATCAAAACGGGATTTC